CGGCCTACGGAGATGACAGTTAAAGAGACTTCAAGCCTGTATCGCTTCCGAAGAAGACCATCTCGAGCACTTTCTTTGGTAATGAATTTTCAGGTTTTTTTTGTTACATGAAATAAACTTCTAAAAATATGATAGCTTCTCTTTTTGGAGATATGATCAATGAACCATGCGCCAATATTTAATAGCCACCCTGTAGTAGGATTATTATAAGTGAATATCGCAAGATAATGCTTTTCGAAGCGTTTGAAAATCCTAAGGTTCAGCGGTCATTAGTGAGCTCTGCTCTTCTAGGTATAGATCAAAAATGACATGTACCATTCGTCAAAAGTATCTCAAGCTGAGCTGATTATATCGATAGAATGTCCACCTCCCACTCCTCATAGCACTTGTGGTACACTAATCTCAGCGTGGACTGCGCAATGGGACCGCTTTCGCCTTATAAGGCTTCTTATCAGCCTCTATCAATAGCTATCATTTTTGTCATCTACCAACAATGTCATGGTATTACCCCACACAATAGTTGCAAGGAGTGAACGCTCAATTGTCAATGTCAGCTGCGCAATGGAATGGGGTCTTTGGCGTATGAAAGCGCTCCGACAACCCTTATCAGATGTTATCCAATTTACCCACAAACAATGTCTCGGTATCACCCATCACACTAGTAAGTATGAACGCTCTATAGTGTCAACACAGACGCTTGCCTCAAATATAATGTCAAACGAAGGAAGAGTAATGAAGAAAAGAAAAAGTAGAAGGATTGAAAGAGAAATAAAGCTGGGAAAGAAAAAAACAAAGAAAAGTAGCTGACGAATACACAGGCGCGCGAAGCATGCGACGCATCTGAGGGACCAGGTCTGAAGCTACCCCCGTGAGTCAGATAGTGGTGGTCGACATCACGTCGGTCGCCTGTTAAGGTGGGTCCAAGTGTTTTGTGTTAACGGCGTCTTACTAGAGCCATTGGGTCTATGGGACTGTCCTTGAGGTTTGAAATGGTGTTTGAGCATGAGTCGCACTTATCTTTGGCTTTCCAGGCTCTGACTAAGGCAACAAGGCCGAAGCGTTAGAAACAATTGCAAACCTGAAAACAGATGCAGTTGCACTTAGAAGTNTACCTCATGCTGTTGCACCGTGTGCCCTTCACATTCCATCGCTGTTCCTTGCATTCACAACCCTGCTTCCTTCGATAAAATACGACTCCTTCCCTTGTTGAATGTGGAGTAAGGGAACGTTGATCCTGCTCTATGTTCCAGCCTAAAGACCTCAAGAAGATCTCGCAAGGAGTGCGGCCCAATGTGTCTTATGTCTCTTAGGCAAATATAGTAGCGTCCTGGCCTTCAACCGTTCCCAGAGTTCAGTCTACAGACAAAACTTGCATTTGCGTGTGTCGGGAAATGCAAGAAATATTCTCTCCATGGCACGTTGGATAACGTTGCCGATGACTCATCCTGACCACGCCGTATTCAGGCCTTTGAGGCAGGAAGAGTATGAAGCATGGACAGGGTCATCTTAAGTCCACGAAGATGACGCATTTTTGGTGGACACTGCGTATCCGGAGGATAATTTCAAAACTCACTGGTAGCATCTCCCATGAATGAGGTCTGAGTGCTTTTTCTCTCATTATTGGTCACTTTCCACCTATAACTTCAATACCGGTGGTTTTTGCCGCGATTCTTGGATTGTTGCTTTGAGAATGCATAAATAGGTCTTGTTATTTGCAGGAGGCTTATACCAAATTCGGCATTCGCGAGCAGAACAACCCGTTTCTCTACGTCGTGCTCCCGAAGCATCTGAGGAAAAGAGAACTCCATCAACAGATGCTCATAAACAGCCAAGAGCTTGTCACCCATCATGACCTGCACTCCACTTTTGAGGATATCCTTTATGTAAGGCCTTAAATTTTTGGTCTTCCTCGTCTTCAGGGAAATATCGTAAAGTAGTGTTAACCATAGCAAGAGCGACACTTCCTTCGAATAGAATAAAGACAGGGTTGTTTTGTAGGAGATTCGGAATTTTTAAGAATGAAATTGACTGGAAACTGATTAGCACTTATGAAGGTGCCTTGGGAACACACCGGAATCAGCATAGCATAATGAAGCGACTCCACTGTTCATATACCTTGATTTATAGTAACCTCAAAATACCGAGGCCTGCATATAATTTGAAAATGATAGTGCATTCAGAACCAGCCTTCGATGAACTTCTCGGATGTGTCATTCAAACGATTCGACAGTGATCCTCGCGGTTCATCTCTACTTAGGAAGTTCGAGCCCGGCGTCGAGCGGACATGTAAAACACTGCCGATACCGTTGCAGTACTGTATATGCCAGTACAAAAAGCAAAATGTCACGTGAGTACTTTGAGGCATAGCGGGGAGTTCGTACGATGTAAGCCTCGCCATTGATAAAGTATCTGAAATAGTTTTGTTTTCTGCTAAATCCTAGACTTTGTCTGCAACGAAGTCTATGTTCAGAGTTCAGTGGGTGCAGTGAACCCTTGGTAGAAGTCTTAAAGTAAGTATCCAATGAGCAGCCATTGTCAATTAAATGGTCTTTACCGCACACACCGTACCTGGACCTGTGAACAGGGCAAGTGTACGCTCGGGCTAGGGGAAGGTAGCACTGGCTGAAGTCGAGTTTGTGCGGGCACAAAACTGATTTTATTCCTTATAGGTTCAGCTACCTCCAGATCGTCGCTTTGAAACATTTTTTGAGACCGCAGGGATGATAAGTGTCACTTGAAGCTCACGAAGTCCAAATAAAGCTAGAAGTGGAGTTACGCTTCCATCATCACATGACAACAGCGAAAATAGCTAGCTTTCCCAGGTCACAGCGATAGGTTCAGCAAAATTGTTCCACGGCGTTCACAACGTCAAACCAGAGGCACAGGAGTGACTCATCCTAGAGTAGAATTTATTGGCGCCGAATTCTTCAAATTTTTACCACAAAAAGTTGTATGAGCAAAATCTGACGTATTCGCACCCAAGTGAAGCGTGGGAACTCGCAATGGTAGGGAATCCCTTACTGATCGGGTTCAGAGGAAAAATCCTACAAAACCAGAGAATTGAATTAGAGAACTTTGAGACTCTCTCACTACCTTAAAGGAATCCTTCGCGGAAAATTCTTGTATTCTTTTTCAACATGAATGTATCATTAGATACACATAGATCATGTGATCATTAGATACATTACATACACAAAGCATCATCGTGGATGATGGCTGAAATTGAAGCATGAAGATTCAGTCTCCGAAGAGCAGCACACTCGCGAAAATCCATTCTATAGACATCGAAAGTAGTGGTTTTGTTGTTGTTGTGTTGTGTTTGTTTGGGCGGAGTCAAAGGCAGGGTGTGGAACAAGTCCGCACAGGGATGCCTACGTTTCAGGTGACGTAATGAAAGAATCGGGTTAAAGCGCGCGATTTCGGAGAGTAGAAATAAATCGATCGATAGAATAGGATGGAGTAGAATTGTAAGATGTGAATGCAGTAAAGCAGAAGGCCAGAAAGAGTTCCTGGTAAAGACGCTTCAAGAACTAAGTGGAGGCATCCCGGACGCCAGCATTTGTGGAAGACTTTCTTGGGCACTTTGAGCAGCCCTTTCGGTTTTTCGAATTGTTTACCAAAACAAATGCAGGTTTTCTGTTCTTTTCATCCTTATCGTGGATGATGGCTGAAATTGAATCATGATTTTTCCGTGAAGGATTCCTTCAAAATACACGTATGAAGAAAGTTCATGCTTTCGGAGATTAGTTGAGTGGCTCTGAGAAAGCTGATCCTTGTAGAGTCTTCCCATCCTCGTGCTTTGCCACAGGAAGGAAGAAGGAGTTCATGATCACTAGAAGCATGAATACTAGCAAACCATAAACAAAGTGGGACTGGGCACTTCCTCTTCTGAAAATTGAACATTCAGAAAACTTTCAGCAAATGGTAAAAAGAAAACGATTTGAACTATTCGAAAGTATTTGGAGCTCCGCAAGAGATAACAATTGAATGTACAGGGCGAGGCAACAGGCGATCGGAAAAATTGACTTTTTACGTGGTTTCAAAATTTAATGAAGGTATCAATTATAAAAATGTAAGAATATCCTATCGAACAACTATTAATTCCCTCTATTTGAAATTCCCGCTCATGAGTTTTGCAGTTTTAAACAAAGCTTACAGAAATCGATCCCTGCTCGCATAAAAATGGAATTTTCTCGCACTCTTGACAGCAGATTTAGCGATCCAATCGAGCTTTGGTGTTTCGGGAACTTCTTCCACTTCACTACCGGCCTTAAGTAATGACTAATCTCTATGTAAATTCGCTTCGGAGGTTTTGGCTGACCAGAATTCGTTCATCCCACAGTAGTTCAAGGGGGCTCTTTATCAGACCTGCACAAAATTCAATCCATGAGCCAACCAACCGCCTTGTTATCAAATCTATCCATTTCAAATAGTGACTTAGATGGTAGCTCCGTTCCACCTCAGATGGCACATTTTTGCGCATGTTTTTACGCCCACACAGCTGAAGATCAAGAAAGAGAAAGAAGTAGCGTTTACTGAAGCTTACAAATCGCTGGGAGGTAGTTAAATTTGATTATGTTGTTCATGCTCCTACTTTCTTCGACCTAGTAGTTTTGAGTCAAAGAGTTTTTCATCGATGACATGCTTCCGTATGACTGTAGCTCAATAAGGGGAGCCGTATCGAAACCCCTTTGGGAGGCGGAGACGTAAAATTTCCGAATTTGGCCAAGCATGATGGTTGACCCCGTTTGTTAAGCAAATGACGTCGGTATGCATTTCCGTTTCTATCAAGTTACAGAAGTGACAATTAGGCTCTCTTGCTACTAGTTGATGTTCACGTACAGTGTCAGATTTTTTCAGTCTTAGAGCGCTTATTAGCACACTTTTCATATTGCTACACAATGAAGAAATGAATCTCTTTACACATACAAGAAGGTAAATGCTGAAACGAAGACCGAAGTTGAAGAGTTATCAATCAACGTGAATGAGATTTGATCTCACCACAGAGTATGAGAGGCCCTTGAATACAGGTTTCCTTCGGAATGGCCCGAAGTTAGATCTTCAAAACAAAATAATACTTTGTGCCTTAGTGTTCACCTTACTGCTGTTACTTAGAGGTCATGACCTGAAGTATACACCTTGGCTTAGCATGCCTATTAGTGTTTAGAAATAAAGTACAAGCTAACGATATTCTCCATTACAGTGATGCAAATCTAGCATATATTCTTGGACGCTTTGCTGCTAGAAATCTAGCTGCTCTTCTGAAATCCGAAAACGTTTCCTCCCAGTGCGAGAAGATAGTGTTAAGCAAAGTGAGGAAAAACTTCGGTTTCTTCATTCACTATAAACTCACCACAAGTTTTTCTCAGGTTATTGAAGCTCAAAAATACGTGCTACCACATCAAAATGTGGCTCAAATTGCAAATGAAGTCAACCTCTATGAAGTAACTTTTGTTGTATCTGCTCCAGCTCTAGGTCGATTTAAGGTGTGTCTACGTTGCGTTCTTCTCACTTCAACTTTTCCTTCCATTTTGTCATGGATAATAGCAGCGTTTTCAAGATACCAATTCGTGAGGAGTCGCTTGGGAACTTGGTGCTGGCTGGAGAACAGTTTGATCGCCTTGACAAATACGGCAAACACGGAGATTGCATGACAAAGGATATACTACGGCCGTTGTGCACCTGCAAAAATAGTACAAGTGATCGTCCAGTTTGATCTTTTTATGGTGAAAACATCTCCAAATACAAGCGTGTTGAAATCGAGCCCTAGACACTTTGCAATATGCCAAAATGCCTGCTAATCATGAGTTTTTTTTTCAAATTCAGGTTGCACTGAGTTGCCAGGTTTCACATTGTAACTTTTTTCAGTGTAGGTCTAGTTTCACTTCGTGACTTCTTTCCAAAATGGGTCTATCTTCAAATGATTGCAAACAATATTTGTGAAACTTGCAACCAATGAAATTTGTTCTATACATTCTCTAATTGCTGCCGTTCACTTCGATTGCCATTCTTCCAAGACGTACGCACGTCTCTTGGGGTATCTACCGATACTCAAGGGATGGAACATTGCAGAGAATTTCACAAGCTTATTGAGTTATGGGCAAAACTTCCGCTTTAGACGGGAATCGACCGTACCTTCAGTTGTTGCAGAGACTGATGGTGAGCTCTCTCACGTCGGCACATTCTTGAGAGCCAGTCTCAAGAGGAGGATTTTCTGAACTGTAGGATAGACCTCCGAAGGACCATCATAAACGTGATACTCTCGCCATGACAAGGGCGCTAGGGCCTTGCATAGTTAGCTGCAGCAGCTACAGTACTACCCGTCAGCGGCAGGGTGTTGTCTGGTGCACTTTCATTAGCTGTGCTCCTTCGCCTTATATTCCTCTTTTTTCTGCACTCAGTATCGTATTGCTTCAACACAGTCTCCTTACGAAAGCGAGCGAGCCCTCAACTTGAATTTTTTTCTGTTGGTTTTTTCTTTTGTTCTTCGTTGTCGGCGCACTGTGGCATCGGTATTTTCATTTCGTTCAAAGGCAAGGTGGATAACGGTCGAGGGAATCCCCGACCAGTGTCGATTGTGCGGTGAGGAATCCTCGACAGGTCGATGGGGAGGGGTCGCATTTCGCAGGCAGGGAGAAAGGGGTCTGGCTGGATCGATGTAGTAGGATCATTACTGTCGGAGAACAAACATCAAGGAGTGACTGATGCTAAATTTTCCAGAGGACTTCCAACAACACTGCTATTTCGCCCACATAAAATTTTCATGGTTCAATGGGATCCGCGTAGTAATTCTACGCAACGTCAGCGTCTATTACGCCAAGGGTAAAGATTCCGAAACTCACACCTTCCCCGACAGATATTAAAAAGTCTGAAAGGGTGTGAGGCACGAGGGGCTTCCCAGATTGGGCTCAGTCAGCTGCGCTTAAACTACTGCTCTCTGATCAAAAATATCAATCCACGGAAATCAAAGGATTCTAGAAGAGGCCGTGTACATCATTTTTGACATATCAAACGAATCAGGTTACTTCAAAACCCGTTAAATAGCGCTCTCTTTTAGTTTACAGCGGTCTGTTAGCTTACTGACTTTACAACTTGAAAGAAGATATAACTTCAGAAATTGTAAAAGCTCAGACTCATAATGGAATTCCGTCGTTAATCAATAAAATTTTGTTAATTCTCATAATTCCTCTTCATAATTTAAACATTTCCCGTAAAGACCTCTTCACCGTACTCCCGATTCTGCTTTCAGATTCGAAATTCGTCCTGTTTGAAGCAGGTTATAGTCATTCGAATAGTGTTAAAAATTTAGTACTAGATAAGCTGCTTCAAGGTTGTTGTGACCGATCAGTCAACACTCGCTGACTAAGGCGGCTACATTGCTTCTGTCGATCAAATGGTGTACGCTATATTGAGAGAAACACTAACACGCTCTAATAAGACTTGGTAAGCCTTTTAAAGAAAATAAAGGAAGAAGAGATGTTGCATGATATGCTGTTTCTCATGACTAGAAACAACTAGACATGAGAATAACAACTAGACATGACTAGTTACCAGTCGTCGTTTTTTGCTCCATTTGACAGTATAAATCATTGATAACGATTTTTCTTTTACTTTTTTTACTTATTGAATTTATGGTGAAGGGTGGGGTAGCAGGACTTTTCAGATAAACGGTTCTTAAAGAGACAAACAGTTTCTCATTCTTCGGCTTCTTCGGCTTGAGGGGAGGGTCATTTCATGGAGTTTGTAGCAGCACATTGAATACGCAGCAGCACATTGAATTGCGAACAGAAACAGTATTCATTACTCCTTGGATAAAGGTTTGAAAACACGTCTACTACTAAATCTCTCATTACAAATGGCCACATTGAAGAGGGATCGTCTTTGTCCCTTACAATTACCCACCTCGAAGTCGGCAATCTTTTGTGGTGTACAGGTCGAGTTACAAGGGAAATTACTTTTCTATGCCAGACCGTTATTTTTATCAACGAATGTGCATAACTCTGTATGTGAACCTGTGAGCTAAGAAGTATACAGCATTGAAGATTATCTGTGTTCACCTCTGCAGGTTATAATTGATCACATGGAACCAATAACTTGAATACTTTTTCTCCGTTAAGAAAAAGTCTTCCTTCCATTTAGGTTCTTGGGGAACTCGTGATGTGATTGCAATTTTCTTTGATAGATCATCGATGGTGACATTAACTGCTTTAGCGAGCACACCGGTGATGAAGACGTCGTCGATCTGGAAAATAAATGCAACAACCAAACTGAGAATTCCCCTTTTTTGCCTTTCTTAACAATATTGGCTCGTTTGTGCAGCAATGATGATGCGGCTATTTATAAACGACCGAAAGACTAGATATTCGGAATATTTTTGGGGAAATATAAAGTAAAAAAAACGTGAATAATAATAAGTAGTACAATTGTGCACATTGATTTTCAGCTCAAAACAACGCATTTTCCCTTTATTCTTGATGTACGAATGTGGTTTTAGCCATTGGTAATAATTATACTGCAACCCACGGTTCCACCGTTGCATTCTACAATGTGGCCACAAATTACGGTAACATGATGAAACGATCATAGATAATCTGTATATCAAAAATACTAGTGAAAATCAGAATCAATATATTGAAGAATAATGAACGAAATACCGCGTTACTACTCCAAGTGTCACTGTTCGTTTGGAAAGGGAGCGTAGCTCCCGGAGAATGCGCTGACAGTGATCTGCAAATAGACGACCTCGGGTTCGTCCCAACTATATCGAAGTGGTTCCTTGAATCCGTGGACGATGAAGATCGACCATCCATTATGCTGAGAGCAGATGTAATCTTGTGCACCACACTCCGTACAGAGTAATCCAGTAAATTCGAAGGGATATCAAGATGGTCAATCCCCGAATGCTGTAAGCTCTAGGCAACTCAGCTGGCCGATTTGCGCTCAAATGCTTTGCAGCACACGACTTTGCCAAAATCCAGTGTTGGTCTGATTTCTCCGACGCATTACTTATTTCGAAAAGTCCTTAGAACTCGAGGGATCACGATAATTCTCGTTATTCCATTTAATGCCTTGTGGAACCAAGTCAGAGGAGCCCTCCTTTTAGTTGATTCTCTGATTGATCCGTCTAGCCCATCTATCCCAGGTAAATCCATGTGAGTACCCTCCCCTTCAAAAAGCCAGAAAGTGTGGGGTGCAGACCAACACCGCAAGTGACGACGCCCTCCAAGTAAGTCTGGCTAGTAGTGGTGCATAGTGGTAGCTGATTTTAAATAAATGATAGCTGTAATTAGCGTCAACTGACCGATTACAACTGTATCAGGTTAATCATTTCATTGGCAAAAAATATTTGCATTCGGAGGCCGTCGTTACTTGTGGTGTACGGTCTGTACCCGACACTTTCTGGCTTTTTGAAGGAGGGTACCTGTGAGGAAACGACTAACAATATCTACCCGGCTAATCTATGTGATCTATGAATTTAAGAGATAATCTATGTATTACAGGGCTGAAGAAGCTGACATATTGGGTTGTCTCATAATTACTGTCGCAATTTCGACACTTTTGTTTATCCAAGTTTCATCTCTTCTAGGAGACAACTGATCAATAACATAAGCACCATCATGGTCAGTGATATGCGTGCATTTGGTAGTGAGCGTTTGGAAGTTTCCAGCCCGGAATGAAAGAAGCTGGGGGTTGAAGAATTTGGAGAAGTCGTTTTTGGGGTGGACGCAATCTTTAATTTTCTTCTCTGGCAGATGCTCATTCAGGGCGCGAGGAGGCGATAGTCCCACAGAGCGATGCCAATGCTATATGGTGGATGAGGTATCGTGGCCCTGGCTATCGCCCTTGGAACGGTTTGAGTTGACATTGCAATGTGACGTCTGGCGTACATTCGGAGAAAGGAGAATCTGAGACATTTCTGACGATTCCCTCGCAACCCCGAAGCCAGCCTAGAGGGCTATCCCGCGCTGACTTCAGCAATGCTTGTCTTCATACATTGAAGTGGTTCCCAAACCAGGCCACCTAGCGCATCCAACAAAACGTGAGCGATATTCTCAGAAAACGTAGTTCGGGCTTTGGTTGAGCTGGTGCTTCCTTGCTGCGAGGTAGTCAACAGACGTCCACGTGGTGTTGTCGCAGTGGACTCGAATGAAGAGCGGTGTCTTGAGCAATCCGATACTGACAAATTTTAGGTGTCTTAATGAAGAAATGACGATAGAACCATTGGAAACAAATGGGTAGAATCTAGCTCAAAAAATTCATCGGTTATGTTTTCAAATTGTTTATGGTGTGCTCCCTTTTCTGCTATTTGTGGCCACCTCTCCAATGGTTCTATCTATGTGTGCCTCTGTTTTTGCTTAATGAAGCTGTCTGCTTGTTATGAATGATTGTTTTCAAGGTCATGACAGCGGTCGACAAATTTCAAACCGTAGCGAAAATTGAGCAGCAATTGTCAGTTACTGAAACTGCGCGAGATTTGTGCCAAATTTGGGAGCTAGTTAGGAATCTAAAGGAAGAAGAAGTGCCGAAAATAGCCCTCATTTTCCTTTTCCTTTATTGTTGTTCAACCACTAACCATAATTAAGACGTGAATGCATGGCTTCTTGGAGCTCCCCTCACTCATACCATAAGCATCCTGTCGCGCCCTGTGGACGGGGTAGCGCGTGCAAGCGCGTGCATCGGTGGTCTGTCCACGGGACCCGGCAAAACGTGGGATTCCAATGGGTGCCCACAACACCTCTGGAGGGAACACGTGCGCTGCGATTGCTCTGAATTCCGTGACTGCTGCGGGCTCAATCACAGGGCCAATTCCCTGACCCCAACAAGTACGTTGTGTGCTGGTGCGTGCGCATATCCCTGATGTTGTTGGGTATGCGATGAGACGTCTGCTGTTTGACACGACTGTAAGCGATGTGAGCGAAAGGCGAGGTGCGATGTGTGAGCTTACGCGTAAGTTTAAGTGTGAGGCGAAACTTGTACTTACTGAGCTTCATGCGTACCATCATAGATATATGACATAACTACAATGTAATAAACCTAAAGAGCTATCGAAATAGAGAAGGCACTGTTAAAGGATACATACTACAAATGGACTAGAGAACTACGGTGGACTACGCGAACTACATATAGAAGACTAATTACATACAGAAAGTGAACTCCCGCTCATTACCTAAGACTAGGATTAAAGAGAAGCTACTATAAGAATGCAATGGAAGGAAACCCTGGGCTACCAAGTATTACTAAATATGAAGCTAAATAAGTACTATCATATATATTATAGACGGATTGAGGATAATTTGGGCCAATGCGAGGTGAAGCGATTTAAGGCGACCGGTCTGCACGATTGCATTATGCCGACTGACGTGGCGGTTTCACGGGCGATTTGAAGGCGCCAGACAGCCAGGGGTCTGCGCCTATCACAGTCGACGCTCATTCTGACTGTGCGCGTTGCGGCATCCTCCCGCGCAGGCCTTGAAGCATCTTTGCTCCAGGTCGTGCGCAAGTCACGACCCATCCACTTTCTCGTCACTCAAAATAGTTTGCCAGATCCGTTAACTTCTCGAAGCTCGCTCAAACGGTCCTCCCAATGCCAGGGAGTGGTAGTGAAGGTCAACCGCTTAAAATCATTGATTGCTCAAGTCGAAGTGATGTCTATGCGGACTCCTTCCATCATCCCAAAAGGAAAGTAAGAATATTCGGGAAAATCGAAAGGGCTCATGACAAGCAGAAAGGTAGAAACTACAAAAGTTTTGCCAAAGAAGGAATGTCTAGAAAGTAAAATTTCTTCGCACCTATATTCCATGGAAGAAAATGTAAAATAATCACCCAGAAGAAGCGCTGCGAATTAGCGGAACTCAGTAGGCGTTTAACGACTGCAAGAGATGTGAAGTAAACTAGTCCGGCGCAGTGGGGTGGATACGTTTCCTCATTCCATTCCTCTTTCGTTACAGTCCTACAAAGTGTTCTATACATATTGTGAAAATGTTCTTCGGGAGCATTTGCAACAAGAACAAAGAATGTAGGAGCGCGTTTTGCACCTTTTCATTTCCTTCCTTGGGTGAAGGTCAGCGTTCGATCTCAAAGCAATTGATTACGACAATATGTGTGCAGCATGGAAGTGCATGCACGGTGAAAAGGTAGTCATAAGCATGGGGAGCGAGATGTGGAATTTCCACAGCATAAGATTCGCTGTTTGCAGCTCACCTTATCCGCAAAAGGATAGCAAGCGAGCATTTCGTTTGGAGAGCACCCCTGTGCAGCAGCATCTTTCGATTCTATCTATTTTATCATCTTGAAAATGTATTCCACTTCGAGTAGTGGCGTCCTGTAACTTTCTGTAGTATGTTAAATAAAAGCATGGTGTTCGCTAGCGTGATGCTGGCATCGGTTTAACATGCTGAAACGACATCTAAGTTGGTCACTGGTTAGTCCATCATCGAAAGTCAACAGGTAAAGGAAGGGTTCCGTTTTGCGTGTTCTTAGCGGGTCTCTGTTTTTTTTCGTCGCTGAGGCATTATTCAGCATCCCCTTCCACTACAAATACACTCAATCTTATTGTAATCCCTTGCTTCGGGGCAAGCTTTGAGACCAACCTCAGTAGTGCTAACCTAAGAACGGTGTTTGAAACTTTAGTGTCCGTACCTATGGGAAGCGGGCCACGCCAAAGTCGCACAAAACGCGCGGTCAGGGCGCTAAAAAAGAGCGGTTAATAACAACCTGGTGCTGCTGACTCATCGATTGCGTCACGTTAAGAGGCTAGGCATGATTGTTGATTATGAAACCGTGAAACTGTAACGGGAGTTCTGAGCCTTCTCGTTCTTGGAATATGGTGTGCTTCTTGTAGACGAATGAAGATGGGCGTAGAGAGTACAGCCACATTTACCAAATTACTAATTTCTTTCGGTCAATATGTTTCGGCACAATTTTCGCAAAATTCAATGTAATGATTCTCGCTTACCACTTGCTTCCTTTGTTTCTTATTGGTTTATGATTGACGCGTCTGAAACCGAGAAATTCGAGAATATAAGGTACACATCTTTCATAACTCGATAAAAATAGAAGGATCAGAAATACTGTGCACTATATTTGTGGCAGGCGAAAATCGTGCTTGCCTTATAAACATTGGACTGTTTGAAATAGTCTACTGTATATAATTCGCTGTGTGGTTGTGTGTATTACTGCTGTGTAACACGGCACCCTAGTTTAGCCGTTAGATTTCGTTGATGAACTGGTTGTTGCTTTCTTAGGGGATATCAGGAAGAAAATCGCTCGTGGAATTTGAAAATGTGAAAAATTTCATGAAGAGTTAAAATGTGAATGATTTGGGCCCAGGTAGCGAAATTGTCAATAATTTCCCCGGGAATCGTAAAGCATATGAAAATAGAGTAAGCCTTGAAGCCGTCTATCTTCTCTTTTTGATCAAGATAAACACCGCTTCTAAAAAAACATCGAATTCTACCAGGACATCTCAGACCTCGAAACTTTAAGAACTTAGCAGCAGGGTGAATATCGGTCGAGGGAATCCTCGACAGGGGGGTCGTACCTGTTGGGCTGGGTCATGGGGGGTCGCACTCTTGGGGGTCAGTAACAGCAGTGGTATCGTAGTGAAGATAGGTAAGAGGGTATAGCGCAGCAGAAAATAAAAATATCTGAAAAAAAACATGATATTAATGATATGATATTTTCTTTGCAGGTTCAGTCGCTCCACTCCTCCACCTTCATGAGAAGGGCGTATTTGAAGGCAGTAAAAAGGATGAAAATGCATCCCCGCAAAGAAGGAGAGCCACATGTGCGCACGCGCTGCAAAGGCACCTCCCTGCCTACCGCTCGCTCCTTCTCCCTTAATGCCTCGCTGAGAATGACACTGTAGTTAGGGACCCTGTCCCAAAAACGACAGCCGTGAAGGGAAAGCCCTGGGCAAATGAGGTTGTTCTTCAGGTTGTAGGAGTTACGAAATGCGTTTACTACAATGCAGCTTCTGTCAACTGGTCATGATCATATGACACCATCGAATCGATTCTGCAACTTCGAGTGAGGTCGGATGCATGGCCTATACTCAGACAAAATTCGATGATTACGACTGCCCCTTTTCCTACTGCTTATGTTGGGAGGATGTTTTCTAGACCTATTTCAAGCGTTGCCAACAATTACACTTGTAATGGTGAAGGGAGCGGATTTTTAGTTGGCCGGATCCGTCCTCGATACATATTCGATGCAGATATCTTCTCAACTAGGAAGTGCAGGAGAAAGCTAAGAAGGCCATCAGAAAGCGCAAACTTTTCGCTTTTCAAAGCTCTCTTCACTTTTTCAGGATCTCACGTTTTGAGAGAGATATTGCTCTTGAAGTGGCAAAAACTCGCGTGAAAATTTCAGCGTCCTCGACGTTTACTCGACGAAATTTGAGAGACCCTATCTTTCTGCATGGAAGACTTTCAGAGCAATTTCAATACTTCTTGAAAATGCGAAATCCAGCTCTATCTAACTCTACCTCAAACTGCTTCAAAGATTATGAAATGGAGGAATGCAATCTTTTCATCGAGGGTGTAGATTTCTACGGTTTTTTTTCGGGATTTCAGCAAATCTGACCCAGTGACAATCGCGCCGCAGCTGCCGTTGAATCGGCCATTAACTGATACACTCGGCTGTTTCGATGTACTCAAGCAGGAATTAGGAATTAAATCACAACCCCGTGCCTCCAGGATTTCCGTGCATTTCTGAACGAACCCGACTTTGAGGTCACACAAAAATTTAATGCCTCTTTCCTCTAGTCGATCTTTCAGTAAATATGTACACAAAAGTGTACAGCGATGAAAGACAGTGCATAGATGGCAAGATGAAGCGTCCATAACATTATTTTGCAGATTTTTTTTTGATTTTATTTTGCAGGATTTATTTTGCTTAATTAATTGACTTAATTTGCTCTATATTGGCGGGGGGTCGTGCCAGGATCTCGATTTCGGGGGGGTCGTACTTCGGTGACACGGTACCGACCCGATTCCTGTCTGCTTAGTGCAGTAACTGTTTACGTATACCGATAAATCAAGCTCTCCAAAGGGAAATTGGGGAAGCAAGCAATTGTGATATGGACCCATGGAACAATCGCCAGAAAAAGTAAAGGCAGAGCATGGAGCGAGATTGGTTTGTTCTTATTTCCTACTTATTTTCCTAATTTCTCCTGCTGTTTCTTTCACAGAAACATTTTTTAAAAAGCTTTAGAGGAGGAGAAAACATCTCGAAGAGGAATGGAAAACCCTAACAAATGGAAGACAATATGTCACCCCAACCTCATTCGGATTCTGTATGGGATAGCGTGTGTCAGTTTATCTACAGCGGTGAAAGCAGCCTGGAACACAGGTTCAATTCTCGAATAGACGTGTTCCTAGTCTACACTCACAGTTCTTTGAAAAACTTTTTTATTTTTGATCTAAACGCGATCAGTAAGCAAAAAACTGTCTCAGAATTCACGAATATAGTTAGTAAATACGGAATCTACGTTAGTCCAATGCATCTTTCTGAACTCTGGTTTCAAACCCTATAGACCAGAATACGTAGAATAAACATTGTGTCTTGTGGTTCAGTCCTACGAGAGCGTGACGCATCAAAGACTTATATGCCGTAATCCGAGTTGGAAGAAGCATTAAGAAAAAAGTCAAATCGCAGCACAACACAGCCTCATAAAACAAAGTGGAACTTTTGCAGGACATCGAAGGTGTCCAAATAGCTTCGTTCCACCGATCGGCCTCAACGAGGGTCAACCCTACGCCTGTTATGAGTAACAACGAGGGCGTACTCAGTTGAGCTTGAGGGGGGTTCGTAGCCTCTCTCGGTGGCCGAGCTGGGGATTCTTTGTATATATCGGATTAATACCAGCAGTTATGATTTTCGTACGATGACTGGTACTAGAGCATCTATAACCAACGCTTCCTCTAATAGTTTCGAAAAATCAGCGATAGAAGGGCCCGATGGCTGCTGCGCCAACGGACACGCAAGGGATGGTAGTGGCAAAGCACACACGGATTGCTGCGGAGCTTTCGAGCACAGCCTAAAATAAAATTAAAACTTGTCTTCAAGAAGTTCGGGCACGTGAAGACCTAAGAAAACTTTTCGAGAGCGTGTTCGAGAAAATGGCTTATAAATCCCCTCAAAATAAAAAGTAACAACAGGATCTACATTTTTGAAGATGCTGATTTTAGGAACGCTTTGATATGCTGGTTAGAAAACTTGAGAATCCATGTAAAAGTTTATTAATACATGGTTCCAGCTTCCCAATAAATGACTTTCAGTGGAAGTTATGATCATGTGAAGGGTTAAAAAAGTCCGCCTTTTGCCACAGGAAAACCAGTAACAACGTAACTAATTATTTATTCAAGTCTAACTTCAGAATCTCTTTTACGCATCGGTTGGAGAGGAGCCTAATTCGAATTTTCCACAACATTACATCAACTTCGGCGCAGAAGCCGAAATATGGACGAAGTTATAAGTCCCTCAGAAAGAGCGGGTGAAAAATTGTGTCGTAAGTGAACGAACGTGAAGGATCATCAGTATTTCAAGTGGAGCGGATAATGTTCTGACTTCTTCATCGGTGTTTTAATCGTAAGTATACCGGTCAATACCGGTCCACTGGATCAGTTTCTTCCTTCATGCTCCTCCACAGTTTGGCTACTCTTTGGAATACACGGATATCTTGAATGCATTATTCGTGTTTGGAAGCAGCGATTAATTATCTGTCGTGATTTTGATAAAGTTTCATCTTGAGACTTACTAGAAATAGAATACTTGCATGGTAAACACTGTTCTACACAATGCACATACAAGGGGGTCGTATCAAGGGGGGGGTCGTAAAAACTGTCCAAAGAGTAACAACGATAGGGTTGACCCTGGTCCTCAACCAAGAGAAGACTTTCGGGTTTTCGTTCTCTGCTGAGCTTTTAGATCAGGACGGCCCGAGTCACTCAAATAAGTTCATGGCTGGT